CGGGGTCAGTTCTCGGTCCAGGGCCCCATCTGTCACCAGCTTGTAGTAATTATTAGAAGAAGAATGAATCTTGAATGGAACGTTGCTACTTAATTTACACGTGACTTCTGCATTTTCACCCGAATCCCAGTCCCTTGTTTTGAAGAGGGCCACGACCATTCCTGGACGGGAATCCTCCAAAATGTGATCAGAGAGAGACGTGATGATTATTTCCGGGCTGTTGTCGTTTTCATCTAAAACTTCTACAATTACTTTGCACCGTGTAGAGAGAGATCCTCGGTCCTTTGCTTCTACATCCATTACGTATCTTTCTACTTCTTCAAAATCCAAGGGCTGGTGAGTTACAATGTTTCCTGTTGCAGAATCCAGAGAGAACACCTGCTGCGCTTTATCAGCCACACCGAGGAAGGAGTAGGTGACCTCTGCGTTGGAGCCTTCGTCTTGGTCAGTGGCGCTCACCCTCAGCACAGAGGTGCCTGGGGGCACATCTTCCGGAATGCTGACCCTGTACACACTTTGGCTGAACACAGGGGTGTTATCATTGGCATCCACCACCAGGATTCGGATCTGAGCAGTGCCGCTCTGGGGCGGATCCCCACCATCCAAGGCTGTTAGTACCAAGTGGTGCGAGCTCTGCATTTCTCGGTCCAGGGTCTTCTTCAATATTAATTCTGGATATTTGCCACCATCGGGATTGTCTTTCACCACCAATGAGAAATATTCATTAGGACTTAGTTGGTATTTGCTCAGTGAATTCATATTAATGTCAGGATCTTTTGCAGAGTCAAGAATTGTTCCTGTTCCTGGGCTGACAGATTCACTGATTTCTAAGTTTATTTCATCTTTAAGGAATCGAGGGGCATGGTCATTAATATCCTCAACAACCACAATGATATGGAAAATGTTTAAGGGATTTTCCACCACGGCTTCCAACTGCAACTCACATCTTCTCCTCTCTCTGCAAATCTGCTCGCGGTCTATTCGGTCCTTCACCAGTAAGTCCCCGCTCTCCCTGTCTATACTGAAAAGCAGTTTCTCCGCGCTAATTCGCAGCTTCCTAGAGGACACATCCAAGACACTCAGCTTTAGATCTTTGGCGAGATTCCCCACCACCGAGCCCTTGGCCAACTCCTCAGGAATTGAGTAGCGGATGGGCTCACAGAGTGCGCGGTAGAACAAAGGCAGCAGGAAGGGAAACAGTACCTGCAGCCGGCCGGCCCCGCGTCCCTGTGCGCAGCTCCCTCCCATAGCGCGCTCTAGCTCTCGCTGGGTCCCAGTCTTCCCAGTTGGAGAAAGTGCACACTATCACGCTGGAAAACCATTCAGCCCAGGACAGGCGGAGTCCCCAGTCTTGGGGCTGGGAATCCGCTTGTGCTCGGCGAGTCTGCACCACTCGGAGCCCTAGTGTATGAACGGGTTTCCTTCTGTGTTGGTGGCTGCACAGGAAATTCTAGGCTAGAGGCTGAGGATTCCCGGGCGTCGGCGCTTGCCCTGCACTGGCCGACAGCGGCGCCCAGAGGCCTCGTGTGGAACCGCAGCCTAAGTTTTCTCCATTTCAGGAAATCTTTTTCTTTCAATGTTAGGAGCTAAAATATTTGACTCTTATTCCTCAGTGATTGCGTTTTCATCATGAAACATGCTTTTACCATCGTCAAAACTATGTATTTTTATATTTTAAAAATTTACATAAATGTGAAAAGATAAAAGTATTTCTTTCAAAAGTCAACAAAAGATTGTAAAGTGAAAAGTAGGTCTCTATCTCATGGTCTACTGTTATCCAGTTCTTCCATCCAGAGGCAATCATTGTTTTTCCTTTTAAGAGTAAATTATTTACAAAGGCAAATACTGAAGATAAGCAAAAAACCCACATTTTTTTTTGGTCTTCGATCCTAGTTTATATTCGGCTAGGAAGTATTAATCA